TCTCTCTCATTTTCTCTCACACTCTCTCACACACTCTATCTCTCTCTCTCTTTCTCTCTCTCTCTCTCTTTATATATCTCTTACTCACTTCTCTCTCTCATTGTTTCTCTCTCTCTCTCTCTCGCTCTCTCCCACTTCGCTCTCTCTCACTCTCCCAGTTTCTCTTTTCTACTCCACTTGTATCTTTGGCCTCCACCCAACCTCGGCTATATTTCTGGTTTACCACACTCCCCAACGGTGACTTAAAACTTAAAAACTTCAGTTCAAGTGTTTTTGGTCAATAATTTAATGTTTATCTTGGCTCCTTTATATTTTCCATGGGTTACATTTCGGTGAAATGTTTTGTCAAAATCATCATCAGCATCATAATCATCATGTTGTTGTTGTAGTTGTTATTGTTTTTGTTGTTGCTTTTCTTCTTCTTCTTCCTCTTCTTCTCCCAGTCTTTCCCTCTTCCCTGTCCTTACATTTGAGAGTCCAAGAGCCTAACCATTAGACCGTCAACGCCCCATAATCTTGAGAGCACATACAAACACACACACACACACACACACACACACACACACACACACACACACACACACACACACACACACACACACACACACACACACACACACACACACACACACACACACACACACACACACACACACACACACACACACACATACACCCCCCCCCCCACACACACACAGCCACCTCCTTTCATTTTTATAAAATCACAAAGGTTGCTCATGCAAAGGTTACTCTTTACTGTGTAGGGGTTGGAGGGCGTTACTGATAGGTCCAACTTTGCTTTCCCTCTCTAGGTTCTGCCTGTCTGTCTTATTTTCTCCCTACACTAAATGACCATTACTAAAATGTTGTCGATGTGCTTCTTCTCTTCACTCAATGAAACAAACAAATAGATTAAACTCTTCACAAAGAGCCGGGTTCGATACATTTTTAAAATGCTTTTGTTCCTTTCTTCAAAAGGTTCATTTCTTGACTTAAGAAGTTAAAAACCAACAGCTGCATTATTATTAAATAATGAAGATTTGGTTGTTCACATTTTTACCTAAACAAAAAAGAGAAAACAATAGTGCTGCTTTGGAAACGACACAGCAAGACTGCGGTTATAAATAGAAGGACATAATACATTTCTATTTCGTAAGTTCTATTTACTTTTATTGCAAGCCTTTGAAGTTTTACCGATGGCTGTGGTGTGATGGTTGCCCTGCGCTCGATTCCGTGGCGGGGAAGCCAACTTTAACGAATGTATTATCTCCAATGCGTTACAGAGAAGAGTCTTGATTTCTCTTATTACCTGGATCTAGGCTTACTCTAACTGAAGGGGAAACATACCCCCCCCGATTTGGAATCCCCTCCATCCACCCTTATTTCAAATCATAACAGATGCACCCTCCCCACATTTGAAAAAAAGGGAAGAAAAACATGAAGAGAAAAGAAAAAGGAAAAACAACCATTCAAAGAAACTTACAGCAATAAAACTAATGTACCCCCCTTCCCCTTCCCTCTCCCAGTTTCTTCACCTAAATACCTGAAAGCAAATGAAAGAAATAGCTACAAACAATCAAGCTATTACCCAAAACCACAAAAACCAGCCCCGAAATAAATCAAATCTCCCACCCCAGACAGTTGGGGAAAGGTCATCGACTAATTCGCCCACGTTCTTGGCCCTGCTTGGGACGTCCCAGGAGACCACGTGATATCGATTTTCACCAATCGTTATCGTCTCTCTGGCCCAATGTCACACTGGCGTCTGTGGTGTAATGGTAAGGTCTTTAGAGGTTACACGCAGTAGACAAGAGTTCGATCCGCGAGTAGGAGATGTGTTTTATAATAATATTCTATAATAATCGTAATGATTTGCATGTATATAGCGCACATCTACGCTCTACAGTATGCTCTATGTGCCTTACTACAATTTCTACCCAGGCACACTCTAGAACACTCAGAAACATGCTTAGCTTTTCGGGAAAAATACAGTGCAAGCTGGGGCTTACACGTGCTAAAATATTAACAAACTTACATGATCTTTCGAATGCCTACCTCTGAATACCCATTCCCAATTGGTTGAAGTGAAGAATACTAACCTAGTTCCCGTTCACTAAGAGACATATCATAATTTGGAATCAAATGAAGGGCAAATACGGAAAAGCTGCACTCGCCCTCAATTAGAACGAGACATATTATTTTGCCCATTTTTTCGTCCTTGGGGCACACAAGCGCAGCAACGTTTAAAAAAAAAATAATTAGAGAGAAACGAGTGACAGCCATGACAGTGTACAGTATAGTTTAACATTTTAATTCAATTCTATGGCCTTGGCATACAGGGTCGAAGCAGCCTGCTGTTTTCTTAAACTAAATTGCGCCAAGACGCATAAAACAGTTTTCGATCATTGCAATATATAATCTGATCACGTGACACAGTGTCTCTGTTATTCCCAGTGTTCCAACTTCCTATTCAATCTGCAATACCATTTTTGCATGCTTAAAATAAAAACAATGTATTTGTAAAAGAAAGACCTGTTTCATTCTAAATTAAAGACCTGTCTAGTACACTGTTGAACGCATCATCTTCTTCTTATGTTATGGGAGAACAATCTGGTGGCGAGCGAACAGCAAGACATCTTTAGAGGGAGAACCCCATTTAAGCGAATGTTTCGGCCCTGAGGGGGGGGGGGGGCTCAATCAGGTCATGACTCTCAAGTCCTATGAGATGAAATATTGCTTCAATTGTTGGATGTTGCTTCTCGGATCTCTCTGCAAGGAAACACTCTGTCTCTCGCCATTTTGCTTATCTGAGTTGGTTTTTTTTTTTGGTTCCAAGCCAGGAATATATTAATAATATGTCCTACTTCTATCTTAAACACAAGGTGCCATAACAAGGTGGACTCAGGCGTTCGTCAGTTTTGAGGCATATTATAGATTTTTAGTAGCATTTTAAAGCCTGCTCATTTGTTTTTCTGCGCCAAAATCTGCCATGAATAAAAGTCGAGATATTTGCGATTAAAGGAGGTTGTGGTCGCCTGGTGCCAAAGGTAAAATGTGTGAGAAAATGGTCATAAAAGTCTGATAACTTCCAAGACTTGAGTGTCCTTGGAAAATGTATACCTTTTGTACCTTAGACCCACACAGAAATGTATTTTGAATTGTTATAAAAGGAGTTGAGCCAAAAAAGAAAATTGGAAAAATATTGGCAAAGAGCCAGAAAAATGCTGGTTTCTTTGATTTCTTTCATTTGACGAGCGTCTGATTTCACCACGATGACTCACACATACACACAACTAAAGTTTCGGATCCAAGGTATTGTAAGCACCATACGAGCCATCTTGATCGTTTTAGCGCTTACATTCTATAAATCTCCCCTTTTCCATTTTTTTTGTTTTGTTGCATATTCTTGTTAGAGTTCAGAAAAATTTACCCGTAAGGACTGCACAGCAGCTACCGTTCCATCACATAATTATGTCTTGCTATTTGTCTACTAAAACTGACAAAATCCAAATTGTTCGGGATTTTAGAGAGCTGTTGGTAGGTATCATTTCTTTAGTGCATTTATGGTTAACTCTATCCAGCATTTGATTCCGCGTGTTGCATCAATGTTGTTGTTATCGATCCAGGTGTTGCATCGATGATAAAGATTCTCTCGTTTGTATATTTTTGTCCACCTTGTAAATTACACTGATGGAATGGGTTTAGGGGGTTGAAATAGGCTCAAAGTCGGGGAGGGGGGGGGGGTGACATAAAACCATTGTACACCAACAAGACGTCCAACCTTCTAATGGAGGAACATCGCACACTTTAGTTCATACACTATGCTTCTGTGGTGCTTGCGTTGACTTTTCGCCTCCTTCTTATTTTTAATCCTTTTTTTCCTTCTTCCACTCTTGATTATTTTTTCTTTCCTCTTTCTCCCTGCTGCTTTACGCAGACTTGTGTCCATGGTAAAATATATGCTCTATGCAGTTCCCTGATACAAGCAAAAGTAAAGGTGCTGATATTGTCGTATTTGTGTTTTTGGGGTCTTTTTTCACGTCAACTCCTTCTGTCTCCTAGTGCATGGAAATTGTATCTCACACGCTCCGGGTTTTGCGCCTTTATAAATGATCTAAACTGGATTGAAGAGGGCATATATTCTGGTCAAATCAATCAGCCAATCAATCAGACAATGAACCAATCAACCAATCCTTCAATCAATCCATCAATCCATTAATCCACCAAATCAACCAACCAGTCAATCAAGGACAAAGTACTCCGCCTCAGAAATACCCTATTTGCGGTAAAAGTCAATTTGATGAACCCATTAAACAAAATAATTTAAAAATGTCTTTCGTGAATGACATCATGGCTACCCTTGCGTAAGCTCACACAGAGTGAAGACCCCGTTTTTGTGTAGAATTTCAAGTAAGTTCCGAATGGAGGACTCTAATTTACTCTTTTGATTGTAGTCGGGTGCATGGCCCTTATTAAAAAAAGAAAAGAAAAATCCTGGTACAGAAATGAAAAATACTTTCGTCTTATATTACCTGGCAGCTGGGCAAGTCGTTTGTTCAAAGAATTGAGTCTGTTAAAGGTATATTCATCTGTACACTTTTGATGTTATTTATAATGTTAATGTTATAAAGGAATGTTAACAGGTGGGAATAAGAGGGTGCACCATGCAGTGGACATACAGAGTAGGTTAACACAAGCTTTCTCACACGTTTCAACCCACCAGACTTTAGTTTCTAATTTACTACTGAAAGCATCGATTTTGTATCAGGTTAATTTCATCATTGTTGGTGAACGAATGTTTGATTTAAAACAGAATATATATATAAATGAATTTTAAAAACACATCTTGTAATTGTTACACGAAAACAACATTAAGAAGAAACTTAATGAAGTAATAACAATTTGAATAAGAGAGAAGAAAGACCCCCCCCCCCACCCTCTCCCCAACTCAGCACAACCACTCCCATTTCTTGTAACAATGTTGAAACAAAAACAAGAAATCTGTGTAGCAAAATATGCTTTATTGTCCATTATACATAATCGCCAATAACGTAGTAACAGTATCATCATATTATTATTTTCCCTCTAACAGGAAAGTCTTCCCTCGCACTGTACCCCCCTCCCCTTCACTCCCCCCTCCCCAGCTATCTCCATTTTTGCTGTCAGGGGTTAATTGCAAGTGCGCACAATGCATGCTTGTTAACATGTCATAATGCCACGTGACAACAAGAATATTGATGTTGATGGCCCTGGTTTTTTTAAAGGTTGTGGTGGTGGTGTAGTTTTGAGAGAAGGGTTGCTGATGATAGGGGGGGTAGATGATGGCAAAAAGGGATGGCAATGATTGTCCCAGTTGTTGTGGTCGTGAGTCGGGTGGATGGGGTGGTGGGGAGAGGGGTGGGTGGTAGGCATTTCATTTGCTGTTCTGTCGTTATTGTTATTATTGTTGTTATCGTTGTTTGGGATTTGAAGTTTCATCACGTTGTTGAAGACGACGATGACGACGATGTTGATGATGATGATGATGATGATGATGATGATGATGATGATGATGATGATGATGATAATAATAACGATAATGATACCTAAAATTCCAATTGGGGCGATGATCACAGTTATGCAATGGAACATATTATCATTTTATGTTATGACAACAGATACATCATTTGTCAAAGTTACTCAGTATCAATAAATATATGCACTCAAAAGAAAAACAACCGTTATAACCACATATTATCATACTACGTGTAGTTCTCAACATTATGGTATGTACATACACAGACGATTACAATAAAATTATCCTCCATTCACTGCATTGAAACTACGGCATTAATAAGGCTTTGTAAACCTTATACGACAATTCATGAGTCATTAATGTAAATGTACACATAAATCATAAACATCTTTTTCCATAATATGTACGACAGGTTCATCCACAGAGCAGTCATTTATGTTCGCTTTATCGTAGAAAATTTGACTGTCAGGCAGACACTCGAGCAAAATGTAATGTTTAAATAATTTCCTAACAAAAAAATTGTATCCCTGTCATACTCGTAAAACAGCAAGACTTCCCGTATACCTCCCTGGATTCCTAATGTATTGTCCATGTCTCTCTTTCAAAGTATATCAAGGGCGTCAAGATCTGAAGGAAGGAGTGTACAATGTGGGCAGACTATGTACTTCCTAAAATGTGCCTACAGTCCAGGTTCAAACTTTTTCCTGCATCTGTCAAGATGCTAACGGCTTTTTTTATACAATGTTCACAATAGCTCTTTCCGACGACATCGTAGCAGCAATGGGGCCTGTCATTATGTGTGACGATATCAGACTGGACTATGGTGAATATGTCCTTGCTTCCACTCCTTAATGTAGGGCTCTTGAATTTTTGCTGTGTGAGTAATTTTCAAGGTCTTTAGCACTCTTGGCTCAGTTCTAGGCGAGATGGACATAATGATATTCGCAGGTCCTTCTTCTAAAGCTCTGCATTACTGAAAGCAGCATTACGCCAACTCGGTTGCCATAATTTAATAAGCCAGGTTAACCTAACTTAAATACCATTTCAAATCAATTTACATTTACTTACATGAGTACATTCTGAACGGCAGTCTTCAGAAAAAAAGTTCGGTAGAATGGCCGAGAGAGTATGTCAGTAACATGGCCGACAGTTTAGGTCTCGGAAAAATATGTCGACCATGGATGATTAGAATTTGACTTGAAGTATCCAGTCCTTTTCCCCATTATTAGAATTTTGTTTAACCATGCAAGGTATTACGCACACAGTTTGAATGGTGGAATCGGCACTTGTGTTACCTAATTGTGTTGGAAGTGTCGTAAAACTCTTACTTAAAATATACTGTACAATTCCAGCTGAACTTGATTTTTTTATATTTCTTTTGGGGGGGGGGGAAGGGGGGGGGGCATCATAGGAGGGACATTGAAAGTTTTGTGTTAATAAAATATCCCATATAATCTTTTTTAAATTCTGAGGTTTGCTTTCGTGACCGAGAACCTTGCATTGTTCAAGCGATGTTCAAAATTATTGTTCTAAAATAGTACATTCTCAAATGATAAATAACGATGGTATTTTATCGGGTGCGACGCTATGAAGGTATTTTCTGCAGTACTCAAGTATCACTAATCTGTCTAGTGGTGAACTAAAAATAGTATTTTCGAAGGTGCTAACATGTCACTGTCTCTATGCTAGAATGGTATTTACCAACTGCTATGCTGAAAAAGTAGATCTACTTCCTCAGCCACGTTTGAATCATGCATCCATTACATTCGGCCTGCAATGTTGTGTTGATCCTTTTCCCCTCCCCCCCCCCCCCACCCCCCCTCTCAATGTTGGTGCCATCGGCTTCGAAATATGCAGTGATCTTGCATATGATCGGCAAGCCACTGAAATGTTTTAAACCCAGTAAGAGATTGTTTCTTTTTTAGAGATGAAAAAACTGGTTCATTTTTTGACAGTTGAACCTACTTTATAAATCTCTTCTTGCCCTTTTCAATGTTTAGGTCTTGAATTCTGACGACATATGTGTTGAGTATAGAATACTATGCAATAGAAGCCCAGAGCAAAATGTGCAATTTAATCTCTTTTTTTTTTCTTCAAAATATTGGGCTTAGCACATATTGACAACCTGGCCGACGATATTATACCTGAGCTTTTGCCGTAGATTATTCATGAAGCCAGTCGACTGATACTATAGTACTAGGATATAAATGCATCGGGGTGTTGAATCTTTACAACAGCCCAGCGTTGAATTAAGACTGCATATGAGTCTTTCTCACTGACAAATCTAGTTTTGAACAACGAAGTTTGTGTTTTAAAAAAATGATAATATAGTTATTCTTATAAACATTTGTCATGTTTTGAGAGACACTATAAATGTGTTTTCTTACGGCTAAGGTCCAGTGTGCTTGCCAGTTGCCTACGACTTTTAGAACAGGGAAAAGTCGGCAGCATTAGCTGCACGTGCCTGATGGATAAGTTGATAAATGCGCAGATGGCATTCTTACGCAAAACCATTTGTCTAAATGCGGATATTATGCGCAGATGTCTCCACCACCAGCAGTCTTCAGCTTGATTCCTATACGACTGAGTATAATTGACGCTATATAATTATACTCATGCACTCTCACTCTTATTAGGGCTATACAGAGGTCTCCATTCCGCTTATGTTGGACATCTGTGATGAAGAGTCAGGAGTTCCCGCCAAATAAGGGATATTGACACCGACCTTGTCCAGCTCTTTCCGGCAACTGTTGCACAAACTGGGCGTTGGTGAGTCGTGGCCGGACTCTTCCGAAACCTGGACACGTACGGGAGAGAATCCAGAACCTGATCTTTTCAGAAACATCTTGTCCAGGCTTGTCTCCCCTGGGCTTAAACTTTGGGATAAGGGCATCGTGGAGTGTCCGGAATCTTGTGAGACTTTCTCCATCAGAAGTGGATTGGGCCGTGTTGCGTTTCCTCCTCCTCGTGGGCTTGAGGAATGGATTAGGTGATCGGGAAGAGACGCCGAGGAACGGGAGGAAGAGATGGCAGGGGGCCGAGAACCCGGGGAAGACGGAAAGTGAGAGTCCATTGTTCGAAGTCCACCAGGCGAGATTGCTCCTCCTCCTCGAGGAGCATGTCTTTTTCCAGAGGGGTCCTTCCCGTGCGCTCTTTCCCCTTCTCTTCCTCGTGCTCCCCGTTTGTCCTGATGATGTAGGTGTTGTGAATTTTGTTGTTGTTGTTGTGGATGCTGCTGATAATGGTGTGGTTGACCCCTAGACATACGAGGTGAATCGGTTGGGAAAGATGAAGGTGAATGCGAAGATGATACAATACCACTTTTGGAACGAGAATAAGGAGGGGGAGGAGGAGGAGGGTGATGGTGATGGTGATGATGTTGATGGTAAGGATGGTGAGGGTTACCACCACGGTTATCTTCATCGTACAACAGAGCATCTACAGAATGAACAGGGAGAGGGGGCACTTGAACATGCAAAGGGTAAAAGGGAGGCTGATCAGCAGCAGCAGGCACGCCTAATCCACCACGAGTGGTCTTCCCCTGTTCCTGAAGACTTCCGGAAGAAGACTGTGGGTGATTCGTTGGGCTGTGGGGGATAGCATAAAGGTTAGGGTCATAATGCACTTCGGCGTTAGAAGAAATTTTGTTATTAGTAGCTACATTTGAGCCTCTGTTAGTAGTCACAGGGTGTAGTCTATGTGCGCTGCGACCTGGTACCGCCGAACTCGACGACTCTGGTTTCGTGATGGAAGAAGCCAGGGTCACCTCTGAGGAGGATGCGAGGGCAGGAGCACCCCTGGGCTGGTGCGCATGGCTGTCGTCGATATGTCTGGAAGATGGACGCAGCTGCTGCTGCTGCTGTAGCTGCATAAGAAGATCCATCCGAGACGGACTGTCGTGCTGAGTCAGCGTTTCAGCAGTGTCGCCTAGCTGCAAGCTGCACTGGGAGCTGCCTTCATGGCGGCCCGAAATGAGGTCAGAAGACAGGGCTAGAGACTCCGTGCTTGACCTACATTCGTCTCTGCTATTTTGGCTGGTAAATGTTTGAGCCGCCATAGGAGACATCCTAGCCATCTCTCGCTCAATTTCATCCGCTAGCGGAATGCTGATTCTCTTTTCAGCATTGTCTATATTGTCTGATTCCGAATAATAGTTATTCCGTCTCTGCTGTAGGTCTAACTTATTAGGTCTCAAGTCATGGGATTTGGGCAACATGCAATGGTGGGTCTGAAAACCAGACGCCGTGTTAGTATAAAATTCACCCCCACACATTTCCATATTCTCAATAGCATGCGCACGTGTTAGCGACATAGCCTGGCACTGTGTCGAGGCCTTGTCATGGTCAGTGCTGTGCATATCTTCGACCATGCATTCAGATGACTTATCAGTACAAGAGAAAAGCTTAGCTAGTCTTGCTGGAAACAGGCTGTGAGATTTCTTATACCTGCGGTTATGCTTGAGGGATGCTGCATGCAACTGGCTGCTATCAATGTCACCATAGTCACTTCTATTATTATAACCATGACCTACTTTCGAAGAAGCTCCGCCTACACCGCCGTTACCGTTGACGCCATGCGGAATGTTGCCGCCCGGCGTAAAACTACCGCCGCTCAGCGCGGTGGTATTGGTGTTCGCCGTGGACGGCGTGGTGGATGCGGTAGCGGTGGTCGCGGCGAAGGTGATGGCGTCGATGTCTGGAATGTCTGCTTCCGCCGCCGCCGCCAGCGCCGCCGCCGCGTCGCTGCTTCGTCCTCCCCTCCCCGGCGTCGTCGTCGTCGTCGTCTTCGCCATCGCCCGAGGAAGCTGGGAGTTCTGATAGACAGGTGACGTCATCATAGCCGTCTCCGCGTACTCGTTGTCGCTTGCCTCCCCTGACCCTCCTCCTCCTCCTCCACCACCTCCACCTCCTGGTACCCCTATCTCCACGCTACTCCCACCACCACCAGCACTACCGCCACCACTCTCCAGCCGGTGGTTGCTGTGGTTTATTTGCTTGTACAAACTCTCGGAGCCCGCGATGCCGCCGTTGCCAGACGCCCACTCTCCACTGGTTCCAGTGGTTCCCGGGGGCAGGGCGTTGACGCTGTGGATAGTGCCAGTAGTGGAGGCTGTGTCGCCCTTACGCCGGGGTCGGGGCCCAGTACGGAAGAGCTCGCTGTCACAGAAAAGGGTTCACAGGGGTGTGGGGACGGGGGTAGGAGGGAGGGAGGGAGGGAGGGACAATGGAAGGGCGGAGGGGAGAGACAAAAAAGGATAATGACTAATAGGCACCAAACAAAGGGAATACATAGAGTGTAACAAATATAACATGACACAAAAAGAAAAGAAAAAAAAACCCTTTCAAAAATACCTCATGATGAAAACATAAATAACAACAAAACAAAACACGACATGGTGATTGCAACACAACATGTCACGATGAAAAAACTATCGTGTGTGCTGCATGCATTATTTGGGGGGGGGGGGCTCCTTCAAATTAACCCCCCCCCCTTGCCGAATACCCCCCCCCCCCAAAAAAAGAATAAATGAATAAATGCATAAATAAATTGATTAATAAAAACAAATAAAGGTGTTTTTACGCTCTCTCCCCTCTCCTTCGACCTAATTCAGATCATTCATGGTGTGGGCTTCTGATCTAGCCTGTCAGAGCCAATTTGGGTTCGGAGGGGATACAAGATCCGTGCTAAAAAACCGTGATACCGCACTCAATAAAACGTTCTCCATAATTGGGCTTCCAACTCAGGCTCCCGCCTTGTGACAGCAAAGCTCCTTATTGCTACATTACAGACGCCGGTAAATAGATACAAAGAAAAGTGAATAAAAATGTAAAAGGTATCAAAATACATTTTATAATAGCAGATTTAAAAAAAAGATGATAAATTCAAAAAAAGAAAGACATTTTGTCTTCCTAGTAAATGAACATTGTAGTTGTTATTACCATAAAGGCCGTAAAACCAGTGCTATCAGTTCTGTTCCTTCTATTGTTTATGCGAAAGCAATGTAAAAACTAAAAAAGGCATTTGATAACATGAAAGAAGTGTCGGAAGGCTCCCTTTTCCCTCTGTCTGTAGGTGGCTGGAGGGGGCAGCTGGTTGATCCAACATTCGTTTAAAAAAAAAAATACATATTATTATCTTCTCTACACTAAACGGCTGCACTCATGCCGGTGTGCTTCTCTTCACAAAAATCGAAGAAACTATCCATTGTTTGTTTCAATATAGTTGTATTTACAGCCCCATAGATGCAATACATCCGGAATGATAGTGGCAAGTTCAATGTGCGTACCTCTGATTTCATGACATTTGTACTCGATAAAATACGTTCCTCATTCCTGAATTGACTTGCGTCAAAATTTTAAAAATATTTATTATACTGGATTGTTATTATTTCTTTGGTTGGGTGCAAAAGCATGACAACATGAAAAGCGAAAATTAAATTATATTTTCAGATAGTTTTTATACGAAAGTATGCTTCGTTTCTGCGCAATTTTTATGAATCTTTACGATGTTACTGTCTCAACTTGGATGAGCACAACCCTCTCACTGTTAAACACTATGGCCTTTTATTTGAACGTTTCGTTTCCTAAAAAACGGGGCTGCCGGTCACTTGGATAGCATACAACTCAAGCAGTTAAAAAAAAAGGAAATAGAAATCTGGGGGAAAAAATAAACACGGACGATTATACATTTCACTGGAGAAATCGGACATTTGAAAGAATCAGTATTATGCCTTTATGCATAATGTTTATTGTTCGTTTTCCTACACCACGAGTGACTATAATAAGTTTCACATCCCCCCCCACCCTTTCTGTTCCAGTGTCCCCTCTCAGTCTGTCTGCTAGAAGCATATCCCCACACAAACTAGAGGTTGACGCACACCCCCCCCCCTCCATGAAAAGAAGAAGAAACCTTGTGATAGTGATCAATTGTTTTGCAGGGGTCTTCCCATATTGTAAAACATTACAATCAACCAATAAACAGATTCATGCAGACAATACATTACACAAATAAAAGGTGGGGAATATGACACACAACACTGGCCGAAAACCGAGCAACACACACAACAGTGACAACATGTTTACGGACGTGTGCACTGACAGGACAACACAATAATGTTCTCTACACTATACCTTAACATCTTTGGACATTCAGCCATAAATTGTGTATAATAACATGGCCTCCCTTGTTGCTAGTAACTTACTGAACTGTGCAAAACCACCCGGCTATTTAAAATAGTAGAGATTTTGATTAATAGTTGTAACTTTTAATGCTTGTTCTAGACGTTAGGGGGTGTAAACTTATTCTCAGGGCCTAAGAATCCGCTCCGAAGATTAAACAAAACAAGAACAAAACCCAAACAAACCCAACTAGGACTAATTCGAAAGAGGACAGTAACTGGAAAGGAAAATGTAGTCACTGTTGTAAAGGAACACGAAAAGAAAAATCCATCGGATGATAATAATATTGTTTGCTATGGGAAATAGGCATTATATATGAATATATAACAAATTTAGCCTAACCAATAGTGCCAGTTTCTTTGTTTCTGTAAAAGCGACATCGATCAATTTTAGAGGAATTAAGTCGATATATAATGTATATACAAACTATTCATATTACATGCCGGTGTTTTCTTCTTCTTCTTCTTCTTCTTCTTCTTCTTCTTCTTCTTCTTCTTCTTCTTCTTCTTCTTCTTCTTCTTCTTCTTCTTCTTCTTCTTCTTCTCTTC